GACATTTAAGTGCCTGTCACTATAAATCAACATTTGGTAATGAATCTTTAACTGCATAAATATATAATATAAGCTATCGTAGTTGACAACTACTTTAATCGCTTAAGAAAGAAGTTAGATAATCTTGACAAGCCACTCGAGATAAGTTATTCAAAGAGGTTGAATTAGATTGATCAACAGCCAATTTAAGTTATTTAACTCTCCATATAAGGATATTTAATGTAATGGACTAATGGGCCAAGATACGAATTAAACCCGCACTGCTCCAACCTTATCAAGTTAAGGTTGGGTCAGCCTTAATCGCAATTCAGGTCAGGTTTGGGTTGAGGTAACATGCGTTAAACCTGGTCTAACTGAATTCAATTCTTACTTTAATTTCTGTATGAATCAAAAAGACTATGAGAATAGACTATTCGGATTCAGATTTCAATTCCGACTGCAAATCAAACGGACACTATCTGTATTTTTCATGATGTATAGTTTATGGGTTCTCACAATTCCGACTGCAAATCAGATTTCGTTGCGAAGTTCTGATTTATTGAAGCTCTCGTTAACTGCATTGAATCTTTGGCATAGCTCTGGAAGATTTCTCTCAGCTGCTTGCAAGCCAAGTGCTTAGCTTTGGAAAACAACATAGTACAATTGTCTGCAAATTAACAATGAATTGACAGTTAAAGCCATTGTGCATAGGATAAAAATGTGTGAGAGTAAATAGGGATGGCCGGTTGAATGCTGAAGGTTAAATGCCTGAAGCCAATTCATAAAGTTGGATGAAAAGATGTTTACGAAATCCAATTTAGGTTAAAGTTTTTTGTTTTTTTTTATAAGAGTTCACTTTTTTTTAGGACAGGTAGTGTAGGGTTAAAACCGAGAACCAAGGCCTTTGATGTATTGGAGTGGCTCCACTAAGATGTCATTTCGTCTAATTCAATGTAGGGTTATAGTAATTCAACTCTCAAGGTTGCGATAGTGCCGTAGAAAATGTTGTTCGATGGTATTTGGTTTCATTGTCATTTATCTAAAAAACAGTGCTAATTCATTGTCACATAGGAATTTATTTTAAAATATTTGGTAAATTGTTTACCAAATAAATGTTTGTATTGGTTTTTATGAGAACCAATTGTTAGGGGAAGCTTCTTTTTAGGATCTATTTAGTTTGCTTTTGGAATCGAAATAGGTCAAAATTGAAATCCCATTGGCTGTTTGGTTCAGATGGGAATTGGAATTGGAATCAGCTGGCCAGAATGAGATCTCATTCCCAAGGGAGGGGAGGGAATGGCCCTTCCCTTCCAATCTCATCCAACCAAACAATTGGAATTGGAATGACCCATTTCGATTCCAAATCCAGATCCTACTCCCACAAACTAAATGGGCCCTTAACATTTCCCCCAACACCAAGGTGTTTTTCTTCTTATTCAGCTTATGTAGCACCTTAAGAAAAAAAGCTTATGTGGCACCGGATGGTGTCTAATCTAATGGTGCCTAACTATCAAACAACATTAAAAAATGTTTATCAGCCATTTTTCTCATTTTTCAAGATGAATATTACATACAAAACATTTATTAAATTAATGGCACAAAACTAAACAACCTCCTTGTTTTCATAAATGCCCATCTTAATCTATTATAAGCTTTTTTTCATATCTAATTTAAGGCATATGATGTTTTAAGTTATTAAAATGTGTATAATCATTTAAAATAGTGTTCATGGTTTCTCCACCAAGGAGTTTAATGTGTGAAGATCAGCTTGATAGGCATATGATATCTTAAATTTTTGTTGGTTACTAGTGGAGACCAATGTGATGCATGGGCTGGTGTTAAAAGATGCCCATGTTAAAGGGGAGTTATTTGGATCAATTATAAGTAGCCCCAATTTGATTTCTTTTACTTAAAATTAAAAAGTACAAAATTATAAGGGGGTTGGTAAGTAAAAGAGAGTAAGCTAATGCACACAATTGCATTTTAGAATATAGTATAGATTTCCTTTGCGATAAGCATAAAGAAAATTTTATATATGTATTTGGTAATTTTGCCAAAATGAAGAAAAAATAACATTTTATCTAATGTTATAAGTTTTTAAAAATAATACCGCCTGAAGCTAACCCAAGGAATGGGGAATTCAGTCTGAGATATATATGATTTAATTCTTGCCAAATTTCCTCATTCATCACCTCTGTTTCTCATTTTACTATTGTTCCCTTCAGAAGTTCCAAGTTGGACGGGATTAAGAATTTGGTTAATATGTTGTATTACTCCCTCCAAAACCCTTTGTTAATCAAGTGTGTAATGAGCGAAGCCATTCTATACAAGATTCAAAATATCACAATGTATCACTGCATATCATACCATATCAGTTTTTAGATTAACTAGTAAATATGTACGTGCTTTGCATGTGTTAATTTCAAATAACATTGATAATTTCAACATCCTTATTAGAACTATTTAAAAATGATAATTAATAAAAGCATGATGTGATAATGTATTTAGATTTTATATTTCATTTTCATAGCTAATAAAAGTACTTCTTATTTATCATAATTATTTTTATTTGATATGATATATATATATATATATATATATATATATATTAGAAATGTGCACAAATTGTTGTGCTTTCTATATTTTTATTTCTATCTATTTTTTGAGTTTTATTATATAATTATGAAACCATGTGCTAGCCTATTTGACTTGAAAAAAAAAGCAATATCATTTTTGGGCAACTTTAAATTTTTTATTCTATTTGCGTAATTAATTCTAAAAATAATTCTTTTTTATCACACTTATTTTTTGTTTGATATGATAAGTTTATAATATCTTAGATATCTCAAAATTTTCTATAAATTTTTTGTATTTTTATTTTTTGTGTTTCTATCTATTTTTTTAATTTTTATTACTTAATTATGACATCATTGGTTAACTCACTTACCCAAACGATTGGACCATCATGGTGCAAATCAAGTAGGTTAGGTCAAATTTAAGCTTAACCCAATCCTAACCCTATGGATTGGACCTAAAGATTCAGACCAAAGTCAAGCCTAATCTATTCATCTTGAGACCTAAAGATAGTTGTTAGGGGGGTATTTATATAAAAAAAAAGCCCTCCAAAAAAAGCAAAAACTAGTTGTTGGGGGGTCTCAGCAGCTAGTTTCCTCGAGCGGGTTGTATTTGGACCATGGGTTGTGCCAACATGTGGGCTGTGGGCTGCCCAACCCACTCGTTCGTGTCATATCGTCCAACCCATGGACCTAGAACCCTGAGCCCAACACGACCCATCCCATCGTGTYGTGTCAGGCCGGGTTGGGTCGGGCCGGGTTGGCCCAATTTTGTGCTAGGCCACAAGCAGTATGACCTAATTTACAGCTCTACATGTACGAGAGATATTCCCAATACATAGCTAAACATGTTGTGAGGTTGGTGTGAGGAACACTCTATAAGGAACAAATCTGGTATGTGTTTGGTTCCGTGGGCATTTATAGATGGGTGTTTCTCATATGAACGTTTAATTGAAGAACTTTACTTTAAATCCAAGATGGGTGTTTCTCATACTCCAGGTAAGCATTTCATTTCAATAAACATTGGGGCATTGGGAGAAACCAAAATTTGAAGTTTCTCCCAATGTCTCGTGCAGATAAATCCAAGTGTTTCTGTTTTCAATGTTTACTTGATAAATATTGAAAGTAAAAAATGGTTTCGTGCACAATAAATGCCAACACCTAAATGACATTGATGTAGTGGTGTTTTTCCAATAGACACCCATAGAACCAAACACAGCCCTGGTCTCTATGTCTGAGAGTGTGTTTTGTTGGCTAACAATAATTGTGGTGGATATGCGTATTATAGGGATAGTTGAATTGTTATCAAAACATACTTCCTCAATATGTTCTATCAACATTAGACACTAAACATACTTACCATCTTCAAGATGACACTGATGGTAGAGTTTGGCCTTTGTGATGGAACTGTTAGGGACGGATAGGGGTTGGGTTTGGTATTGCCTATGGGTTCGGTTAGGGGTGTCAATTGGACCAGATTTAGTCTAAACAAATTCAGTCCAATATGAGCCTAGAACAGGTCCAATCCAATTTAATGAATATTTTGGACTATTTTGGATCGGTCAATTCAATGTTTGGACCATCTAATATGTTCAAATTAATTTTAATTTAAATTGGTTCTAATTCAAACCTGATCCATTAACACCTATAGTTTTATCTTCTATCAATAGATTAGATATTGATTAAACCCGATAAGGTCCAATCCAATTCAAAATAAATACTTGGGGTAATTTGAGTTCAATCCACCATAGAAGTCATAATGATATCGTACAGTTCGAGTTAGTGTAAGGGGGAAGATTATTAATTCACAGGATAGGGGGAACTGGGATAAATACATAAGGGCCTGTTTGGTGCATTTTTCCATGCAGTTTTTTGATTGTTTATAAGTCAGGAAGACCGATTTTTAGTTTATTCTCATTTGGCTCGTAGAAGATCTAACCGCCAAAAGATGGTTGAAGTTTCCCATGTCTTTCGTGTTTTAATCTAATGCGGAAAGACGTGAATAGACATACAGAAAGATGTGCATCTATCAAACTGTCTTCGAGCTGCCCAGATCTTATATCAAAAGCTCAATGCATCTTTTAACCGTCAGAACTACAAAAAGATTTTAAAAAGACATGCCAAACGGGCCCTAAATACATCTGAGAAATTTCCCTATTCTGAGGTGGTGAAAAGGCCTTAATACATTTAACCATTAGGTTTAGATTGATCGAATTCAATATCTCTTATTGGTTCTTACAATTCGTCCAAATTGATTTTGATTTGGACGGGTCCAGTCCAAAACCGGTCCGTTGACAACTTAAAAAGCTTGTCAGTTGTCACGTGGTGTTAATTAAAATAGATACGTAAAATTGCTACAGCACAATTCACATCAGTAATCGTCTTCAATTCCACTTCCACGTAGTGGGAGTCCTGCCATCCCAGTATATAAACATCCATTGATTCATAACCAAATCCAATCAATCCAATCATAGAGAATTTCATCAGGAAAAAAAAAAAAAGCAATAGCAGAGAAGCTTACAATGACAAGACAGTGTCATCCTCTGCTGAGAGGGGGAAGGAAAAAGGGCAACTACAGTCATGGGTTTTCTTATTATCAGATGGAAGCTCTCAGTGCCATTTGTGAAGCTTTCATACCTTCTATACCATTTGATCCTCTCCGAGCCACCGGCGGTGAAGGATCCCCCAACAAGAGTGTCCAGTCCTTCTACCTTGTTTCTGGGTCTCAGAAGCCCATTCCTGACGAGGTCTTGTTGATTGAATTCTTAATGATTTTGTTTTATGATCTCCATGATCTTTTTCCTTTTTCGGGTAAAAATTGATGTTTGATTATTAAAGAGTGGTTGATTCTTCGTTGGGTGGATCTGGATCGTGGGTGTTTCTTTTAATGGGTTAAGTTTTAGTTGTTTGTACCTCTTTAATTGATTAATGACAAATTATATTTTATTTTCAGACAGAGTTATATATGAATCTATTTTTAATGTTATCCATTATGTCTTTTTATTAATATATTTTTTCTTATATTGATTTTTTCAATATTTTGGTTCTCAAGTATCACATGGTGATTGTAGGTTGCAGAGCTTTTGGTCAGCAGAAGTTTATGGCATGCTGTTTTCATGGTGAAATTTCTTCTATGGATGCTGTCAACCAGATTAGGGACATCCTTACTTTGTGGGGTTCTCACTTTTGGTTGCGGATGGCCGTTTCTTTACAAGTTCTCAGAATTACCCTTGGAGAAAAGGGAACAGATTCTCCAGAAATGGTCGGGGGCGAGGTATCATAGACATTTAAGAATGTTCTTCATGCTGCTCAAAGTCTTCTGTATGTTAACCTTTTTCAGCATGGTAAAGCCTCTGACCAGTAAATTTTCTTATCTGTTTGAAATTTCTCTGATATTTCTCTATCTTATTATGCTCCTTCAATTTTCCGAGTTTAGTTCTGAGGAAAACATGAAGGGTGAAAGTAAAATTATTGGTTAAGTTTCTTTTGCTGAACTTCTGCTTTAAACAGTTTTCTCTTTATTTGGTAATTGCAAAAAGTAATCTGGTCTCAAGGGTAGCATTTTCTCCTTCCCAGAACTAGCTAATTTGTTCAAGTCCACAAGGGAACAGGACATTGTTTGAAAGACCTTATTACTGTTTACAAATACATAGTTCCATTTTTCCTTTTAGTTTTTCTTTCTCTCTCTGCTTCACTCCCCAACCCCATCCTTGGGCAATTTATATCCTTTTCTCAGATAGGTTTTTTCAATGCCCTTGAAGGACTTTGTTTTTCTTGCATTGAACAAAGGATTTTATTTATTTGACATATAGACCATACTCCGTGGCCTTTATAGCTAACCCTTGGGTTTAATTTTTCTGGAAACTGATTAGCTTTCTCAAGGCCTTGAAGGGAATTGTTCCCCGATTCTCAAAAGCTAGTGTTTGAAAATTATAAATTGGAGCACTGTAAATGATTATTCAATTGGTAAATCCTTTGGTTTCTTTTATGAAACTGCAGAAGAATGAAGTTCAAGTTCTTAAAATTGAATTTCATCTCTTTCTGTTGCAGACCAATGAAAACTCAGAAAACCCTGCATGGGATGCAATTGGGTATCATGTAGACACCGAACGGAGATCATACAAAACAGAGAGGAAGAGACCCCTCGAGAAGGGAATCATAGAAACCGTGAGTGAATCTGATTCAACCCTTGTTCAATCCCTCACCATAAAAGGTTTCAAAGTCACTCGAGGTCCAAGGTGGAACCTCCACAAAATTGAATGTGATGTTATTATTGTTGGTTCTGGTTGTGGTGGGGGAGTTGCAGCTGCAGTTCTTGCAAGCTCTGGACAGAAGGTAATAGTCCTGGAGAAAGGGAATTACTTTGTGCCTGAAGATTATTCCTCTCTGGAGGGTCCTTCCTTCAGTCAACTATATGAATCAGGAGGGATCCTACCGAGTCTTGATGGGAAGATTATGATGATGGCAGGATCAACAGTGGGTGGTGGCTCTGCTGTGAACTGGTCCGCATGCATCAAAACACCAAGTTCTGTGCTCAGGGAGTGGCATATGGATCACAAGATTCCACTCTTTGGTAGCTCTGACTATCTCTCTGCCATGGACACTGTGTGTGAGAGGAATGGTGTTACGGATACTTGCTTAGAGGAAGGATTCCAGAATCAAGTCCTTCGAAGAGGGTGTGAAAATCTTGGTCTGAAAATTGATCCTGTGCCACGGAATTCCTCAGAGAATCATTACTGCGGGTCTTGTGGTTTTGGTTGTAGAAGAGGTGATAAACAAGGGACTGATTCTACTTGGTTGGTTGATGCTGTTAATCATGGTGCTGTGATCCTAACAGGATGCAAAGCCAAGAGGTTCATATTGAAAAGAAACAAGTTTGGTAGTGCTAAAACTATGAAATGCGTGGGAGTGATTGCAAGAACTTTCAGTAGGAATATCAGAAACAAACTGCAAATTGAGGCTAAGGTAACAATCTCAGCATGTGGTTCTCTCTTGACACCCCCTTTAATGATATCTAGCGGGTTGAGGAATCCAAACATTGGTAAGAATCTACATCTTCATCCTGTAATGATGGCATGGGGGTATTTTCCTGATTCGATGAAAGAGTTTAAAGGGAAAACATACGAGGGAGGTATAATCACGTCATTACATAAGGTGGTCACAGAGAAATCTGATGATGTTTGTACTATCATTGAAACTCCTGCACTTGGGCCAGGTTCATTTGCTGCATTGTTTCCTTGGGTTTCTGGACTTGACATGAAGGAGTGCATGGTAAAGTATGCAAGGACTGCTCACCTTTTTGCATTGGTTAGGGATCAGGGTTCAGGTGAAGTGAAAATCCAGGGAAGGATAACATATAGGCTCAGTGAATTAGACAAAGAGAACCTTAAGGCAGGATTGCGAAGGGCATTGAGGATTTTGATTGCAGCAGGAGCTGTTGAGGTGGGCACCCATCGGAGTGATGGGCAGAGAATTAAATGCAGAGGGATTAAGGAAGAGGATTTGGAGGAATTCTTGGATACAGTTTCTGCAGTGGAAGGTCCAATGTCGAGGGAAGAGCACTGGACCATCTATGCTTCTGCCCATCAGATGGGGAGCTGTAGGATGAGCGCTAAGGAGAAAGATGGTGCAGTTGATGAGAACGGGGAGAGTTGGGAAGCAGAAGGCTTATATGTCTGTGATGGAAGTGTTTTTCCAAATGCACTTGGGGTTAATCCCATGATCACCATTCAGTCCATTGCTTACTGTTTGTCAAAGAAGATTGCTGAATCATTGGAGAAGGATAAATCCACCAAGAATAAATAATTTACATGGGAGAGTTGGAAGCGGAAGGCTTATACATGTCTGGTGAAAGTATATTTCCAGATGCAGTTGGGGTTAATCCCAGTATTGTCTGAGGGAAGTGTTTTGCCAAATGAAATTGGGGATAATCCCATGATCACCATCCAGTCCATTGCTTGCTTCTCAAAGAATGCTGAACTTTCAGAGAAGGGCCAATCGTCTAAGGACAAATAAATTCTGTCTTCATAATCTTTAGGTATCACTTCTGTTTAAGCTCTTAAGTTTTGTTAGAATGCATGTTATTGAATAATTAAGAGGTTATCTTATTTATTTTAATCAGTTCACGTGGCGTGTCTGTGATGTTCTGCAACTTGAACTAATTCAATAGCTATAACAATACGAAGTTGCTGGTGATGTCTCTGGGACTTTGTACCCCAGACGTGGGACCAAATTCCACTTTCAGAGACTGATATCTGACTGGTTTTCATTCCTCTAATTGTAAAATGTAAATACACAAGCATTTCTTTTCTTTTCCATCTTAGTTTTTGTAAATTGAAGTTCGAAACTTCAAGTACTCAATTCTGCAGCTTTTAAGAAACATTCTTAAGCCTGTGTTCGTATCATAGTGGAATTGGACTTAAGAGTAGGAATTGGGCGGCCAGCAATTTCTGTTTCTACCCATTTTTTGTTTATATTTAACAAAGGGCTGAAATGGAATGAAATTACCTCATTTTTTGCACAACTATTGGTAGATTTCAGCTGTGGGAGATCTGTAGATAGAAGCAGCTTTTATCTGAAAAAAAAAAAAAAAATCACTGAATGGAAGTGCAAGAAAAGCGTAGGAGATCCAAAAACTTGGTGCAGGGAAAGTTATAGCTATTTTCAATTCTCTCTTGTTTTTAATTTTAGTTGTAGAGTACCTAAAGTAGAATGGTTGGATCACTTACGTTTGGTGTTTTTGTCACAACTAACATGTTAGATGTTGAACTTGGAAAGCTCAAACTTCTTATTTCTATCTCTGGATCATTTCCACAGTATTAGACCTGTAATTTACTCTAGAATTTGGCCAACCTAACTTCTTTTTTCCGGGTATCTATTCAAACTTCAAACTATAGTAAACCGAGGTTTTCAAGGGCTAACATTACCTGTAAACATAGAGGAAAGGGAAAATCACGGATAGATGACTATCGAAAGAGCCCCTAAAATAAATTTAGCTTCTGGTTATTGTTCTGACATCTGGTCTAGACCGGCATACTTAAATGAATTCTAGTTCATCCAGACAAAGAAACGTGAACAGAAGTCGGTGTCCCTTCAACCAAGGATTATCTCAATTGAATGCCGTTTGTTTCTTAGACAAATGAGTAAGGATTAGCTGTCTCCCGGTTAGCTCAAGAAACTTTTAGCTCAGCTCAGTATTGAAGGTATAATTTCAAGTAAAAAGTATTCACTGTTACTTCATAGAGGTGAATCTACTATCAGAACTCGTCAAAAGAAGTTATTTTAAATTTGCTGTGGTTGGGCACAAAGGGTGCAGCGGCACAACTGAAGATGGACTGAAGAAGAATGCTAACAGTAAGAAGTCGAGAGATGGAACAGATTGGAGTTTGGCAATATCTTTCATCAAATCAAATCAAAGAGAGAAGAGATTGACAAACTGCAAGAGATTAAGTGTAGAGAATGCCAACCAGGAGAAACAGGAACAACAGGATGAGGCAACTGTAGAGAAGACTGGGTAACACCAATACTGGAAGGGATGATTTACTGTAAATCGTGGGTGTGTCAGAAGCTTTTGCCCCATAGAGAAGCATATCATTTATCAATGGCAAACCTGTTAGCACGCAGCAGGGGCACCCCAATGGCGCATTGCTTGCTTCCATTATAATTTACAGTAAATTATATTGGCTGGCTGTCCATTGCTAGGATCCTCGTTGTATTCTGCAATACTCTCTAAGTAATGAAGTTGCTCTACCTTTAACATCTATACTATTATAAAAGTGGATATTTGCCTTGGTTTTGGTGCAGATTATAAAAGTTCAAATATTGTTAATTTATATCTTTACCTTTAATTATACATGCACGTTCACACTAATAAAAAAGAAAAAAGAAAATATCAAGAGATGGATAAATTCTTAAGTGGACTGTAGAAACAGAAGCTATTTAGTTTAGAAAGCCCACATGACAAGACATGGGACCCGGATGAAGCAGGCTTTGAGGCCCCATACATGCTCCACAGCACATCCCAGCCATGCAATGGGAACACCTCCCTGCATTTGGAACATCGGCTACCAAAGAATCAATTTATCATTTTTAAAGAACTCTTACATTTCTAGTAGGATACAAAATATTAAAATCTCACCTACCAAGAATCAAGGCCCATAACCTCTATTCCAAGATCAAAGTATTCACAGTTAGGATGGATGGCTACTAACATTTTAAGTCGTTAAAATCCCCCAACTCTCAATATTTATCGACTCGCTGAACCACGATGCCAATACACTATGCACGATACAATGCAACATGAGATTGGCATTGGAAGAGATATTTAATTACCGTCTGTCGTGACTTGTGAAGCGAGGACATCCTACATTCAATGTCATAACAATTCAACATCGACCATTTTTACCGTTCTTTTTCCTTTGTCTACGCATTCTATATTTTTGTTAACCTTCATTATGGATTTCAGATTGAATTGATTTTCCATATATGCAGTAATAGGTGATAAAATGAAAGAAAGTGGACTAAAAGAGCATAGAAGACTCAATAGTACCCATAAGAATGAAGAAGAAATGAGTCAATGGGGGCTTGAAGGACCACGGATATAGTAAAATAGGCAATGGGTAAATATTAAAATTAAATAGAATCAAATGGCAAAACAAGATTCTATGTAACCAACCCGTTAATTGTTATTGTGACAAGGCTTGGATGATGATGACGATATCCTCGAACTAGTCAAATATGATCTAAGAAAAGGAAATGCGTTAAAAAGGATTGATTGCTTTGGCACACATGAGAGAGAGAGAGAGAGAGAGATTGAAACTCAATGAATTCGTTCAATTAAATTTTTTTCCTTGTTTACTGCAAAGCATTATTGAGAATTTCTTGCTCGTATCTCCTCTTGAATCTCGAGTCTCTTTAATACCCTTTTTCCATTTGCCTAAAACAAAATATGCACGTGCTCCAATAATACCCCTTGGAGAACATGAGATTTACTTTGCCATAAAAGAATTAAGTTTAGGTTACAGCATGGGGATTGAAAGTCATCCCCTTAACTTGCCGCTGCTTTAACTGCTTTCTCAGCCGCATCATCCAGATCTTCTGCGGTAATTAACGTCATCCCACTCTCCTGTAATACCCATTTATGGTCAACAACAAGAATAGAACCATTCAGGTGATGCTTCTTCCTCATTTCTAACTATTTGGTTATAATGCCTACGTTTGGAATGTATAATCAGACAAATCAATTGGGTATAAAGTGATCCAATGCATCACATTTACCTTCAGGATTCTTTTCCCTTGGTCCACATTGGTTCCTTCAAGACGAACAACCACTGGTACTTTCAATTGAACCTTACAAACAAAACCACATAAATGTTATTACATTCATGGCAAGTGAATAACTGACCATTTACTGAATGGTTGGCTCAATTTTAGGTCACACCAAAGGATGATGCCAAGATGTTTAATATGACCAAGGTTCAACTGCTGAGTTTTTTCTTATTTGCATTTTGGCTTCTTGTAACAATTTAAACCAAATTCTTCTAAATTTTCCTACTGCTGCTCATATTGTATAAATGACCCCCCCCCCCAATGTAAATGAAGAGGAGTAGCTAAATATGGTCATAACTTTAGGTTAATTACTAGGGAGAATGACAGCATACTAGCAAAGTTGAGTATCCACTCAAATAGATAATAATTTGAAGATAGTAATCAAATTAATAGGAATCACGCTTGTCATGAGGACAACCCAAGTAAACATAATGCAAGTGCAGTAAATAACCTGTTTGGCAGCATTGACAATCCCACTTGCTATAACATCGCACTTCATGATTCCTCCAAAGATATTGACCAAGATTCCTTTCACCTTCTCATCAGATGTCAATATTTTAAATGCTTCCACCACCTGCTCAGCACATTACAGATCAATAAGAAAGATGGTAACTAATAATCAATAAAGAAAGATTCACGTTCTTTTCTTTTTGGATATTGCATTGAATATAGCATTCAATATATATTTATTGAGAGAAAAAACTACGAAACAAACTTACAAGGAGAATCCATCCATTAATATGCTAATAAATGTGACATGTTTTTATCAGCAAAAGGATTTCATTAATAATTAAAGATTTAAACTTAATACAACTGTTGGCAGATTCCCATATCCATCACTACACCGTTTACAAGTATGCCCAGAAAATACTTGGGCTATTTACCTAATAATGTATAAATATTCAGAAGGGAAAAAATCTTGAGGAGAATGGATAATTATACTACTAATTTGGATGGGAAAAATGGCCCATGACAAATCAGGATGCAACTAATTGTCTTTTGCTAATCTTTGTACAAAAAATAACTAGATATGCATTCCATTTATTTAAGTTCCTGCTCTCAATTGATCAAGGCAATGATCCATTATTTTCTTCATCAGCAATTATGAAATCATTAGGCTGTGTTTGGTTGCAATACAAATAAATTTGTTCTGATGCAAAACTATGACAGTGCAAATTCTGACCTATTTTTGTTTCAAATTTTAGCTTATTTTGATTGATTGCATTACAAATGAAGTAAATTAAGACATGAAGGAGAATAAAGTAAAACCCAAAACAAAATTAAACGAGAATTTGCGTTTTTTTCATTTGCACTCCCATGCATTTGTACTAGTTCAAATAAAATTGCACTGCAACCAAACACAGCCTAAAAAACAAACAAATCAAAGAATAACTACAGCCTTTACCCAAATACAAGTGATTGAAGCACACAAACAGATACAAGGAGAAAGTTAAATTGAGAATAGTCCCACATTAAAACTCTTCTCTGGAAAAACTTCCTGGCTAATTCATTTGCAATATGATTGGATGATTTTGACATCCTTTAAAATAAGATTTTCAACCTAGATATGATTGCCTGAACCTCCTCTCTAGTGACACTGTGACACAATGTGACAACTGTGATGGGGCACCACTCTCCCTACAAAGCTCATATGGTAACAACTAACCAAACTCCAAAAGCCAGAAACAATAAAAAAAATTCGAGATCCAAAGCATGGCTAAGGAATCTGATCTAACAGAATTTCATCTATCAACAGGTCCAACTGTCCAAGTACAAGTAGATATCAACCCTAAGATAATCTGCCCCTATGGTGGGTAGACCTAGATTTCCAAGTGAACAACCACGAAGTTAAATTTCATGACAGTTTGGGAGGGCTTTCACATTGCTGCTCTTGGCTTTACAAGGCGGGGTCCCAGAAAGCCTAGAAGCAATGTTTGGTGAAAAATCCAGAGTTATCCAGCCACTTAATTTCTTTTAGTGGCCTCTTCAAAGCAGGCAGCTCATCTAAAGCAACTCAACCAAAGCTTAAGCCCTCCAAACAGGGCCTTCATCCAGAGACTGGAAGCTGTAGCTTGGAAGCTTCTATGAATAGATCTGACTATGATAAAGTATCCTCACACCACAGGCCCTATATGAATACTCCTCAAGCTATCCTCTGTATAATCCCGAAGTGCTATTCAGATGACAACCCAATTATTATTTTTTTTCCTGTTTTTTTTGTCCATTTTCATTAACAAGCCACAGTTTGAAAATTATAGGGTCCATCGGGATATAGAGATACTAGAGGTGTATTTAAGCTACATTCAACCTATACAGTTTGTGGAATGCAAGAAGCCACATGGCTGCCCCTTCCCAACCATCAATTTTGATTGTAAGCTTTCACATGCAGATAGTTTTGTACTCCAATCATTTGTAAGTATGTTAAGGGCCCGCGAATAGGATCTCGTCACAGGTGGTTAACGGGAAAAACTTCATGATTTCCCTTGTTTCTCCCTTTTCTCGAGGAACCTATATTTAGAACCTTAATGGTGATTTGTTAAAGAGATCACCAACTCTCCTCTGCTCTTTCTTGACTGAAAATATCGACGATTTTATTAAATATAATCTGCTCCTTTAAATAGGAATTACAAGAAGGTAAGAGTACTTTAGGAAAACTACCTAACAAACATTTATCTTTAAATAGGAAATAATAGTGCTACTGCCTAATTAATAGAAAAATATTTAAATTGGAAATCTTAAAATTTAGCTAAGAGATAAGATAGGAATACTGAATTTAACGCAAATTACTGTTGCTGTTTGCGGCTGCACTTCTTTCCAATAAAAGCATCCATAACATTACTCCCCTCCTGGACTAAGAGCTTGTCCTCAAGCTCGAATTCAGGATAGGTGTCCTGAAACACAGTCAAAGGAATCCAGGTAGATTCAGCCAATGGTAAGCTGGCCCATTCCACCAGAACTTCAACAACATCTCGATTAATTCTGGAACGAACAATAGACTGAGGTTGGGGAATGATTTTGCCCTCCTTCAAAGGTGGTAAGGAGGGAACACTGGTAGGAGGAACACCCTTAAACTCCTTGAGCAAGGAAATGTGGAAAACACCATGAATCCTACTGTGCTCTAGAAGTTCCAGCTTATATGCAACCTCACCAATTCGCTGCAAAACCTTGCTTCATGCGGAGTTGTGCCTGTTGTAAACAAAGAGAAATTTCAGCCAAAAGAGCATCTCGCTCTTGCAAGGAACGATCAATCTCCTCCAAACGAGTAGAACCAGATTCATAGGACAACAAACGAGGAGGTTCACGGCCATAGACAACTCGGAAGGGTGTCATTCCTAAAGAAGAATGATAGGCAGTGTTATAACAATACTCGGCCCAAGGAAGCCAATCAACCCACCGTCTCAGTTGATCCCCAACAAAGCAACGGAGATACATCTCAATCGTTCGATTCACCACCTCAGTTTGACCATTCGATTGAGGATGATAAGTAGAAGAAAAGGCTAAGGTGGTACCATTTAACCGAAACAATTCCCTCCAAAAGGTACTAGTAAAAATCGGGTCCCTGTCGCTGACAATAGATTCTGGTAACCCATGTAAACGAAAAATGTGAGTGAAAAAGACATGGGCGACAAAAGTAGTTTTTTACGGATGAGAAAGAGGGATGAAATGAGCATACTTAGAGAAGCGATCCACCACTACATAAAGAATTGATTTTCCCCCAACCTTGGCCAATCCCTCTATGAAATCCATGGAAATATCAGCCCATATCTGCGTTGGAATCGAAAGGGGCTGAAGAAGACCAGCTGGATGCAGATTTTCCCCTTTGTGTTGTTGACAAATAGAGCAGTTTTGTATAAAGTCCCTAATAGAGGCCTTCATACCTTGCCAATGGAAATCAGCTTGGATGCGATACAGTGTTTTCTGAATACCTTCATGGGTGGAGTTATGAATACTGGAGATGATGGAGGGAATCAAAGAGGAATCAGCCGAGAGATATATCCGACCCTTATACATCACAAGCCCAATTGGAGTCAAAAGCTCCAGACTGAATTTTCTGAACAAGTGTCGTCCACTCTGTTGATTGTGGCATCTCTTTCTTGATGCCATCCAATAAGGTGACTCGAGGACGTGGAATTCCACAAAGGAGCATAGTGTCCTCTTCGCGCCTAGACAATGCATCTGCTGTGCAATTTAAAGATCCTGCCTTGTAATCCACCCGGAAATCAAACCCAAGCAACTTGCTAACCCAATGTTGTTGGGGAGAAGTAACAAGTCGCTGCTCCAACAAGTACTTGAGGCTATAGTGATCAATTTTGACAACAAATGATCTTCCCCACAAGTATGGTCTCTAGTGTTGAACTGCTCTAGCTAACCCAATCAATTCGCGTTCATAGGCTGGCAATTTCAAATGCCGATCAGCTAGCTTACGACTGAAGAAAGCAATCGAGTGCTCTTATTGCTGTAAAACGGCGCCAATCCCCATTCCGAATGCATCACATTCAATTGTAAACTCAAGATCAAAGTTCGGTAATTGCAAAACTGGAGTGGTGGAGAGGGCATTCTTTAAATTTTCAAAAGTCGTGTCAGCTGCATTGTCCCAATGAAAGGCATTCTTCCTCAGCAGGTTGGCTAATGGGGCAGCCATCACGCCATAATTCTGTACAAATTTGCAGTAATATCCTGTCAAACCGAGGAACCCACGTAGAGCTTTGGTGGATTTGGGCGTGGGCCATTCCTTGATCGCTTGAATTTTGGAATTGTCCATTGTTACACCCTTGTCGTTAATGACATGACCCAAGTAAAGGACCTAGTGCTCTCCAAAGGAGCACTTGGATCGTTTAAGGAAGAGCTTGTGTTGGCACAGTAGCTCAAAAACAATCCTCAGATGATGCACGTGTTCTATCCATGTTTTACTGTCAACCAAAATGTCGTCAAAGAATACTAAAACAAATTTGCGAAGGTGGGACTGAAATACCTCACTCATTAAGGACTGAAATGTGGATGGGGCGTTTGTGAGACCGAATGGCATAACTAAAAACTCAAAGTGGCCATGATGAGTTCGGAAAGTTGTCTTCTCAAAGTCTTCGGAAGCCATTCGAACTTGAAAGTACCCCGATCTTAGATCTAAGTTTGTGAAATACTGGGCACCACGAAGTTCATCCAACAACTCGTCCACAATGGGAATAGGAAATTTATCCTTGACAGTCCGGTTATTAAGCTCCCTGTAGTCAACACAAAATCTCCAAGTACCATCCTGCTTTTCCACCAACAAAACCGAGGAAGAAAAAGGGGAACGACTAAGGCGGATGATCCCCTGCTCCAGCATTTCAGCACATTGCCTTTCTATCTCATCTTTCTGCAGGTGTGGGTAGCAATACGGCCGAACCCGTCATCAGAGTGATCCGGTGATCGCAAGCTCGGGAAGGAGGAAGTCCTTTGGGTTCTTGGAATACATCTGAAAAATCAGCAAGGAGCCTTTCCATGGTTGCTGTGTGTGTCATTTCATCTTGGAGCACATGAACCTGTGGGTATTTTGCCTTCACCACTTTACCCTGCCAAGTGACTTGCTTCCCGTTCAAGTGGAAGGTCATCGTTAGGGCGTTGAAATCCCATAGGATTGGACCTAGAGTGCTCAGCCATTTCACCCAAAGAACTACATCAAATCCATACAAGGATAGCACGAACAAATCAGCAAAGAAGGATTCAGAATTGACCTGTATTTGGACTCCCTTACAGATGCCCGGGCTGTGTACTCTTTCACCGTTTGCTACGGCTACCTGCAGTCTCAGTTTGATTTCCATTGGCAGTTCCAATTGGAGGGCAGCTTGTTCACTTACAAAATTGTGTGTGCTTCCTAAATCAACAAGGATCAGTATTGGTTTCCTTGCTACCCGCGCTTGCAATTGCATAGTTTGAGAGGTTTTTATTCCAGTAATTGCGTGGAGAGAAATCTCGGGTTCCAATGAAGAGGGTTCATCCTCATCTTCCTCTTGTTCATCCACCAAGAGGCAGAAAAGTCTCTTGCACTTGCCCTGCTGAGTAAAGTTCATCACAATTAAAATACTGTCCCCTCGTCCTACGTTCCGCCATCTCAGCCCTGGACAAGCGCTTAATAGGGGGTACAACAACGCTGCTTCCCACACTGAATGCCGATCTGAAATTGCTGCTCGTCTGTGGTTTCTATTCTCGGCTGGCTGCTGAAGATGGAGTCGTTCCGAGTGGTTTCGAGGCTGCCCATGCCGCCCTATATTGATACTTCCACGGTTGAGTTGCAATTTTCATTCAAAAGCTCGAGCCAAATTCATAGCAATAACCAGATTGGGGGGATTTTGCATCTCCACATCCACCCACAAAAGTTTCCACTAATCCCGCGGTGAACATGTCAACCTGTTAATTTGGTCGTACCGAAGTTGCTCTTGCAAGGACGGTCTGAAATTGGCGCTGATACTCATCCACAGTTCCAGTCTGTTTGAGGTTGATTAGTTCGCCTAATGGATTGCTTGTTAATGGGGGCCCAAATTTAAGAAGGCAGTAGGATTTGAATTGGGTCCAACTGAGCCCAAGTTCCTCCTGCCCAATTTATAAAACTAGAGTTGCGCCTCCTCTGTCATGTGGAATGCGGCTAATCCTACGTTGTCCCTGTCCTCTGTTCACATCTGTACAGCCATCCCAAAGGATCTCCAGCTCCATTATAGGAAGGAAATTCCAGCCTGCTATATTTGGGAACAACCGCGGCTCCCTGGGCAACGACCTGTTGCTCGCCAGACGATTCTGCCAGGTCTGGTCGGCGGTCGTCTATGGTTGCAGCCCCTTCTGAACTCTTTTCCTTGCTGGAAAAATGTAACTCCATCAAGCGCCTCAATTCCCGGACATCGTCCTTGATCTCGCGCACCTCCTTGCTATTTTCCACAAGTTTGTGCTCCAAATCATGAACCCTAGTCTTCAATTGCTCAAAGTCACCCATGACGCCTTGCTCTGATACCAAATTGTTAAGGGCTCGCGAATAGGATCTCGTCACAGGTGGTTAACGGGAAAAACTTCTTGATTTCCCTTGTTTCTCCCTTTTCTCGAGGAACCTATCTTTAGAGCCTTAATGGTGATTTGTTAAAGAGATCACCAACTCTCCTCTGCTCTTTCTTGACTGAAAATATCAATGATTTTATTGAATATCATATGCTCCTTTAAATAGGAATTACAAGAAGGTAAGAGTCCTTCTTTAGGAAAACTACCTAACAAACATTTATCTTTAAATAGGAAATAATAATGCTATTGCCTAATTAATAGAAAAATATTTAAATTGGAAATCTTAAAATTTAGCTAAGAGATAAGATAGGAATACTGAATTTAATGCCCATTACTGCTGCTGTACTTCTTTCCAATAAAAGCATCCACAACAAAGTAAAAGAATAGCATGCTAGTCATTTTTTATTTCAGTGTTAAGTGTGATAGTGCATTTCCTCATTGCTTTTTAGTTATTTTCTTTACCACTATTTTTGACTTATAGATCATGAGATGCAGATTATTAGGTAGTATGAGTCTAACATCAATAGACTAAAAGATTATATCAAATTTCATGGCAGGAACTCTACTTCTTCCGAGCCAAGCTGCATAGATCACAGCCACAGGTAAGCAAGCAACCAGCCAAGATCATTTGCTCAAGTGACAGTATAAATTTTGAAAAACATTGCAACCCAGTTTTACAGGTTTGAGATCCAACCTGGTTTAGATTAAGGCACTGCCTAGGGTGGGCATTTTCCCAATTCAATCTGATTACTTGCCACCCTAATCTAGAACCTCAAGGTATACTTATTCTTTGACAGAACAAATTCCGAAAGTCATCTTTTAATACTTATCTGTTAGTCTTGTAAAGCTTTTTCTTTCTTTCTTCTTTCCTTTTTTTTTATGGATGGTGTTACTCTTATCTAGAAAGAGAGCAGCTTTCTACCTGGCTCTCCGAGGCATTCCCACCAACATCTAAAAAATTGGCAGGTGTTCCACCATGCAATTTAATTATATCCATTGTAGCCATTGCCAATCCAGCACCATTCACCATACAACCAATTTCCCCATCTAAGCCAATATAGTTCAAATCTGCTTTGCTAGCAGCAACCTGTCAAAAACAAGAATTGTCATAAGTAAGATATTGAAAAGAGAGAAAAGTATGATAATCTAGATTTGTTCTCATCCTAAAGTTTTTCTTTAGGAGTCAAAAGAATAGTCTCTTCCATCAATGTACGAATAGGATATAAAGTTCAAGACCCATTAAACATTATATACCAAACAGAACCGAAAGGAATTATCAAGGTGATGGTTAAACAGGGCTGTACGAGACAAGATGTTCTCTAGAAGGTGCCTTTTTATCATGCCATTTTTGCATACAGGTTTGGTACCTTCTTAAACAAGGAAAAAGGATAAGGTAGGAACCTTATCATGTGTTATTTTATTTTTGCCCTACAATACAAAAAATTACATCATACATATTACTATACTGTTTATTATTCTTTTGCTAGGTATTTTATTCATCATTTATTGATTAGATTTAATATGAAATCACTTTGCCTATATACTTGGATTCAATGTGTTAAGAGACTTATTTGCTTGAATTCATTATGCTATTGAATTGTTGCTTTTCTTATTTGTTTAGATTCTTGCTATATGAAATTTCATAATTTTAAACTATGAAATCTTGATACCCATACCAGGATGTTGTACTGTATCGAATACTTAATTTTTTTAGTATAAATTCTGTTATCTGACGCCATACCCATCTGTATCCTTGTATCTGGTAACATAGGTTTTAAATGTCTTGCTGTTTTGTAGAAATGTAATTGATCATATTGTACATAGAATGTTCAAATTTTGAGAACCTTGCAACATGGACAGAATAAACCCCCTTTGGATAAGTTTAATATTAAAATATAGAAAACTTCAACACCTGAAATTACTTGTAGGAAAAACTAATAAAAGATGGAAAGGCTAAAGTTGAATGGGGATTGGAATTGGATGGACAGTCCAGAGAGTCCCCTAACATCCCAGATTTTTTAACCAGAAAACATCCTGGATAGGCTACATCATCATTCCATGTGACAGTAATATGTAGTCTAGGGAAGCTACCTACTTGGCCCAGTTAGGTATGGGAAAGAGGTTCACTAGTCAGCTCATATAGGAAGTTTCCCTACACGCCACCTATTTCTGCCACATGGAGGGAACTTGTGGCTGATGCAGACTGTTTATCATATAGGAGATCCACTGGATTGGCAACATGTTTAATCACACAATTCATATCAGTTATATGCCCTAACTTTTATTGGTGGTTCTCATAACTAATATTTGCTATTTAATATGTTGATTTTAATATGAAAATTATCAGAAAAGTTGTCTTAAACACACACATATGTGTCTGAATGTATACATGTATGGATGGATGGATACATCACAAATGTGAGATTAAGGAGGGATTTCGCCCATAGAATCAAAACAGGATGGGCAAAATGGAAGGGGTGCATCCAGAGCAGAGCCCCCTATGATTGGAGAATTTAAGCTAAAAGGATTTTTTTTTATAATTAGCTAAAAGGAAACTTTTTATAAAATGGTTACATGCCAACAATGTTGTATGGAGCAAGACTTTTAACCAATCAAGAAACAACATATCCAAAAAATAAATGGAGTAGAAAAATGAATCTGGAAATGGATGAGTGGGAAAACTAAAATGGATATGATCAGAAATAAACTTATTTTAAGGAAGCTAGGGGTAACTCCAGCAAGTGATTAAATGAATGAAGGTAGACTAAATATTTTGTCACGTGTAAAGAAGACCATCTACATCACCAGTGAAATAAAAAATGATCAGTTACAAGTTGAGGGACCAGAAGAGCTAAAGGCAGACCAAAAAGGACATCTAAGTAGTTAGAACTGATTTAAGGAGCCCATAATTTAACAGTGGATATGACACTAAACAGAGCAAAATGGTGGATGGAATTCATGTAGCTAATCCCATATAGTTGGGAAAATGAATTATGCTATACAAAATATGCACATATCAGAAATTAAATTATATTTGGCAAGACATAAGCCTTAATAAATGACATCATCTAAATACAAACACATGACATAAGCATATTACATGGCATACTTATACCCATATCCGTGTCCAGGATTCTAGGAAATGAAGAGCCAAAACCCCATTTCCCATATCCGTGTATGTGTCTGTATCCATATCTGGGCATCATAGATCAGGGAAAGAAACACCATGGGTGCTAAAATTTCTGGTTAGAGCAAAGGTCTTGGTTATAAATTTGAACTGCCCATTCGAATGGGTTCCAAGAAGTGCTAATTTCCCAGCAGATTCATTAGCAAGATTGAGGTTACAACTTGCAAGGAAAAATATTGTATGGGGATATCCAGGGTCAGGTGCTGTTATGTTAATTCGTCACCGTTTCTGGTTTCTTTAGTTCATGGAGGTGAATAGCTGAATGCTATTCTCTTTGTACCCTTCTCATTATTTTTTGTGTGGATTGCTTTCCCATATGAACAAGTCTCTTTACTGTTGATGATAAAAAAGAAAAAACAGAAAAGTAAGAACCTCCCGAGGATCTTCTTGGGACGAATCACGGAGAGCAAATATCTCCTTCTGACGGAAGGCAGCATTATCATCAAAGTTCAACTTCGCATCAGCAGCCACCAACTGGTTATCAGATGTTTCTGCAATGGGGTTGATCTATTCAATCAAAAATCACAAGGAAATGAATCAATTAACCAAAAAAGCATAAGTAAAGCTGAGTTGCAAGAAGGAATCCAGAAAGAATAAGATGGAAGCAAAATGTTTTTACACTCACCTCCAACAATGTGCAATCACACTCACAGAAAAGTTGATATAGCTTTTTCACTTGTTCTATTGAAGCATTTCTATCTGCCACTTTGGGAGCCAAACCATCAACAACTTTAGCAGCGTCTTCATTTGTGATTCCTTTAAAAACATCGATAGGAACCTGGTCAAGAAAAAACATAAGATAAAATGAGTAAAGCAACATCATAATAAAAAAACCAGGATAAAATGTCAATTGCAAAAGAGGTCAAGATACATAACCTTAACAATCATGTCCGGAAATTTCTCTGCAAGGTCTTCAATACTAGTACCTCCCTTCCTACAGGCAATTATAAGCTGGAGAATTGAACATGAAAATAAGGATCTCATTGTCATGGAAAACCATGTTGAATTGATATTATAGACAATTCATTTCCAACATATATGATAAAACATCCTAAAACGGAGGCCATTATTAAGAAATTGAAGTGATAAACACCAACATTAATGGGATAACTATCAACATCAGACAACTGCAGAAAATTATGAATTCATGATAATATAAGGTGAGAAAGCAAGAAATCCAGGAATTAGTGGTCCAGTCCTATGAAATACAAAAAAAAGTAAGCACTGAGTTGTTTATTTTGTTAATCCGGAGTTCACTCTATATGCACATTCTTTTCAATATGCATCAGGATGGAAGCATTTCTTTGGATGGCAAAATCGGGGGAACAATTTTCCACAATTATTTTGATAGGTTACAATTTCCCATCATTTGCTGAAGTTTCTCACAAGTAGGGCATGATTTCTTAAGCCCAAGCCCAATCCAAGGCTTACAGTCTCTGTCACCAAAACTAGAGTTCCTTTGCCATGTTTATGGTTCATGTTTACTAAGAAAAGAGGCACATTAATATGCACCCTGCCACTTCAATCATGGACAAAATGTTAGAATCTAATGACAAAAATGCCCTACTTGTGGGTGAGTCATCTGTTTTTTGGCAAGGCCAATTTAGGTTATGTTTGGCACCATTGCTGTTTCTACCTGAAACGTTTTCGATTTATCAATACAAATTTGTAAAAGAGATTTTTTTCCTACCCGAAATGATTTGGTTTGATCAATGCAAATTGCTGTTCCTACCTGAAATGCCAAATTTGGCTTTTTAACCATACACATCAATGATCAGCCCCGCACATGCATTTTTTTAGTTGAAGTGACTCTCATGCAATGAACACATATTCCTCACCAATTTGTATTGATCAATCCATAACGTTTCAAGAATAAACAGCAATGAACACATATTCCTCACCCTCTAAATGTGCCATCTGTAGAATTTGGGATCAATTAGATGTTGGCATGTAATTCAAAGTTTGACATTTGCCTTTACAAAATTTCAATGGACAGAAATTATTGGATGACATGTTGCTAATAGGATTAGTTTTTGGAGGGATATTTGGCAACTGATTTTCCAAGCTAAAAAATAGGTAAACTGCAAAAAACTTTCATTCTCTTGCTGCAAAGTGGTGTTGGAGGTTTGCTAATGAAGAGAATATGCTATGGAGGAACTTAATTAAATTTAAATATGGGGAAGTAGGTTTCGGTTGGGAATCAGGTTCCCCCACTGGTTCTTATGGAACAAGTCTGTGGAAGGAGATCTTGAGAACTAAGGACATTTTTTTCAATGATATTTTCTTCAAGCTGGGTCTTGGTGATAGAATCTCGTTCAGGAAGGACAGGTGGTGTGGTGATAGACCACTTTGTGTGGCCTATCCTGCAACTTTTGCTCTAGTCCAGGACAAGGAGGCTCAGGTGTCAGACTGTTTTGAAGTAATAAATGATCAATGTGTATGGACTCCACGCCTCAGAAGGAATGTCAATGATTGGGACCTTGGTTATATGGCTTCTCTTCTTCAATCTCTGGAACAGGTGAAACCTCAGCCCATTTAGAAGTGATGCCATGTGTTGGGTTGCTGAGAAATCCGGTAAGTTCACAATCAATTCTTTGCTGAATCTTTTGTCGGATGAGGAGAGTCAATCCCCTTCTTGGGCCTCGATATGGAAGATTAGGAGACCATCAAAAGTGGTTTTCTTTGTTTGGGTTGCAATTAAAGGAAGGATTCCCACTATTAATGTGCTAAGAAAAGGTAGGGAAAGGAAGGGAATTGGGTTAAAATTTCTGCTAACAAAAATTAATGTAGCTCATGTCTATCTATAGATATAAAATACATGTAAACTAGATCCAGGCCTACACCGTATTCCTACAAGGCAAACTTGCAAAAAGTCAAGTATCATCACTACCAAATTCTCATATGAAGATGAGAACATGGATTTGGTGGTAAAAAAATTAAGCAATTTACATGTCATAATGGCTAATAAAAAAGGCATCCAATGAACACAAACAGAATGTAATATGGATTTGAGAACATACTGGCCCAGCACTCGTACGGTCCAGAGTGATGGCAAAATACATCTCATTGACAAGTGACAACTTTTCACACAAATAAACCTGCAGGAAGAAGGTAATGACTGAATGTTAAGGAATCTAAACTAGCTTCTGGGCATAAAAAAATGTCAAGATAACCATATAAAAAAGAATTTTATAGTACTAATTTACTAGAAGGTACACAAATAGATTGAATTAGATAGAAAAAATCAATATTTAAATACACATCAATTCAATTTACACAACCAAGAAAACTTGGATTTTTTAGAAAAGTCAGTGTCTTGTCTAACCTAGTTGCCTTGTTAATTATAATCCAATATCAACCCTAATTAGTGGGTCTTTAGTATTTATAAGATGAGATGACTTCTTTCACCTAGTCATCGTGATAACTATGATCCCATATCAAAGCTGAAAGCTCGCATTAAAAGATAAACTAAGGCTCTGAAGGAGGAAAGAAAAATCTATCTTAACCAATTTCAGTCACTCACGGACCCAAAGTAGACCAGGATCACATCTCCTCTGCTCTTTTTGAAGATTTCCTTGCCCCTGAAGGCCTAGAATTGCCAAGAGAACAACCAATAAAGAAAAGCTTAATGATGATACCATGGGATAGGGACTCAAACAGGTATTTTTATAATTCTGGCATTGATGAGAACAATCAATGAATTCCCATTGACAAATCACAGTCAAAATGGCACCTCTAGATATTGCCTCTTGTAACCAACAAATAACTTATGGAGAGGAATCTATATTGCAAATTTCCTAGTGTTTTTCTCTTCCCAATTTCCGTGCAGCATGCATCTTTATATTATCTTGCCCAATATCTGAGCAGGCATCAGGTTGCTTGTTTTCATAAGGTTGAAATTACATGTACACAAGGGTGAGGATGTAAAAGTCTTAACTTAAATGGGAATGTACAAGGATAACTCTCTGTTGGATTGAAGTCTTTGTATGTATGAGTATTCGGCTGATAAGAGTTCTTATTAGCCTATACTTAAGTTTAAGTTGTCCTGTA